AAATTACAGTACTGTACAAACTAGCATTACCACCTCAGACAAACACGAAAGCTTCGCCACCCACACTGCCTGACTGACTGAAGAGAAGAAGCTTAGCATAGCACTATAACTTTAGGAGCGACGGCCGGCGAAAACTAACATAATTTTCACAATTACTATTGATTATAGTTTACTCAATTTTGATTAGGCTCCCAAGCATTTTGTGTACTTTTATTCGAAACAAAGTTTAGTATTAAATGGGCAAATAAAATAGATATCGTAGTAAAACAACTGCATTATTTTGTTTTTTTGGTTTTCAACTAGTTTAATATTTTTTTTTATACACAGCTCTTGGGGGGGCACGTGCCCCCTGTGCCCCCCCTAAATCCGCCACTGACAAGTACTACAGGTATTTAACCTTTTTATTAGTAAATTATGTGATCCAGAGGCTAAACATGTTAAAGTTAGATTAATGTATCTTCAATCCTAAAATGTTATGTGAAGGGAAGGAAACAGGCCCACGACGTAGGAAGTGGTGAAGGAAGTAGTAAAGGCTGGCATGGCAGAGTGGGGGAACCGTTTTTAGCAGTTAGATTAATTAATCTGTAATACTTAAATGCTATGAGAAGGGAAGGAAACAGGTCCATGACGTAGGGAGTGGTGAAGGAAGTAGTAAATGCGAGCAGTGTGGAGTTTGGGAATGGATGTATGTATCTGGATTAATATATCTGCAATGCTAAGACTGCTTTCAGAGTAAACTAATGATTTTCCCCGAGCAAAGCTCGGTCCCCAGGTACTACAGTATATAAAAGGTGTATTGGAGTCGAGGGGTTGATTATATATCATTGATAGATCATTGGATATTGATTTATTACAAGATTTTCTTTGATATATCGCACCTAAATATCAATTTCACGATAATATCGACATCAAAATATCAATGCTAATTTATCGATATTTTCGATATATTGATATATTGTTGCCATCCCTGAACATTATTGTTATAGTTGAGCAGAGCGAAGCGAAGCTATTTGGGATCGGCTTCAATGCAAACTTTCTAACACTATCAATAACAGTTGAACATATTTTAGCCAAACTTACAACTTACTTATGGTTAAGGTTGTTTTGACAAATATTCAGAAGATTTAGAACAAAACAATTTCAATATTTGATAATGCCTATATAATTTAAAAGTACCGTAACTCAACGTTTTAACATTTTAACATCGGCCTTATGGGTTGCCATGATGGTTACAAAATAACGACGTAAATGTAAACAAAACAAGGAATCATAGCATATGTTTAAAATCAAGGCAATATAGGACCTAAACACAATACCTACAAAGGATAAACATTCAGATAATGACCACTGATATAACAGGGATAATAATACAGAAAAAGTATTACACGCCATTTGGAAACTACCACTGATCGTTTAGGTCAGTTTATTTCAGGCTATTTTACAGGTGTTATTTATGTACCAAATTAGGTTGTTATAACAAATAATATTTATCTTATGTGATTGAAAATAAAACAAGTACATGAATCGGCAGTTAAAAAAAGACTACCTATTTATTATCAAATCAATATTTTTGTCTAAATAGGCTATTATGAAGATGCGGTCTTATATTTACTTTAAGGGTGTTTGGTCGCAAATTTTCATGTCTGATTTTTTGTTATTGTTTAATTGTACTAAAATTTAGAGATACAAATATATAGGAAAAAATTTTTTATTTTGAATATTAAGCGAGATATGGAGCTTGAAAGTAATAAATTTTTAATCTTTGGTACCAGTTCACAGGGAGAATGGGTAATGCGATCCTCATTAAAATTTGCATTCAGGTGTGGAAAAATAAGATAATAATCACTAGCTATTTAAAATTAAAATTTAAAAAAAAATTATTTTTTATTTTTTATAAATTTTTTAAAAAATTAAAAAAATTTTTTTTTTAAATTTAAAAAATAGCTGTTTGTTTTTGGGAAAAATGTATCTGTATGTTGGAATAAAAAAAAATGTGATATGTTAACTCGTTTAGGCTGTGAATTCGTACCTTTGATGCCTTGCGCTGTCGGAGCACTACTCGTTGAGAGTTTGTACACTAACACCGGGGCTTTAGAATTCTTTAACATCACGTAATTATTAACATCCTTTAACATTGAAAGAATACGTTTATCGTTGTATTCTAGAGCCCCGGTGTTAGTGTACACACTCTCAACGAGTAGTGCTCCGACAGCGCAAGGCATCAAAGGTACGAATTCACAGCCCAAACGAGTTAACATATCACATTTTTTTTTATTCCAACATACAGATACATTTTTTCCAAAAACAAACAGCTATTTTTAAATTTTTAAAAAAATTTTTTTAATTTTTTTAAAAATTTATAAAAAATAAAAAATAAGTTTTTAAAAAAAATTTTTAAATTTTAAATAGCTAGTGATTATTATCTTATTTTTCCACACCTGAATGCAAATTTTGGTGAGGATCGCATTACCCATTCTCCCTGTGAACTGGTACCAAAGATTAAAAATTTACTACTTTCAAGCTCCATATCTCGCTTAATATTCAAAATAAATAATTTTTTCTTATATATTTGTATCTCTAATTTTTAGTACAATTGAACAATAACAAAAAAATAAGACATCAAATTTTTGACCAAACAGTGCAAGTCTTATCCTATTGTGAAATTTATTTTAGACACGTTTCAGTGTGCCAATGTTGACCTAATATAACCACAACATGGCTTTGATAGCAAAGATATAAACTGATCTTAGGTAAATGAGAGTTAAACAAACAATTTAATAAGCTGTTTTAACTAATAAAACATATTGTTACAGTTATGTTAATGTTAATGTAAGTTGGGGGCACTATCACTCAGTCCTCCAGCGCGCAACTTTTAACTTTAAACCATTTCAAAATTCCTTTTTTTCGTAATTCCAAAATCTCTAAAAATATAACGATTCTCTCCCACTCACAGGAGTAAATTCTCCTTTGTGGGGGATAATTTTGCTTACTTTTAAAAGCTTTTATAGAAAATTGTATATAACTTATGAAAATAAATAATATTGTCCCAATTTTTTTTTGTACAGGGATCATAATATGGAATATGTCTGTTTTTTTGTGTGTGAAATAAATGATATTTTGATATGATTTGATTTGATTTTGCTATTATCACCAAAATGTGGTCTACCACTGATTTTAAACAACACATTCTATACTTCCCAACTTATTGTAAAATTTTAAATATTTTTGATAATGCGTGTTGGCAACACACTTGATCATCATGTTGTATTGATCAGCATGTTGGCAACGACTTGAGGTACAGTAGAACCCCGGTTAACCGAAATCGGGTTAACCGAACCCCGGGTTAACCGAAACGGTTCCATAAATTAATAAAGGGATCAAATAAAAGTACAACAAGTAAAATGTAAACAGAGAAGCTCTTTCTAACCCATTGTAACATTTTTGTAGCTGAAATAAAACACTGTATTAAATAGACATGGTTTTAAATTAATTTTCCCTACACACAGGTAATATATAGGCTATTTTTTGTGTTTGATGGGTTAAGCGAAAAATTGGTTATCCAAAACGGCTCTCCCCCCTTTATTTCGGTTAACTGGGGTTCTACTGTGTATAATTGCCCCAGTAAGTAGGCCTGAAGTAGTTTTTTGCATTTTCATTTTACAAGAAAATACCAAGTTTGCATAAAAGTGTAATATTAAGGAAAATTTCAGAATGCATTCTCTAAAACTGCCAGATGTTTGTAGAAAATGAAGACGAGCAATAAATGCCCCAAACGCACGAACAACTACTTCTGGCAATGTTTTGAGATACCGGCAATAGAATGTTGAACATTTGCTTGAAAACAATGCTTTTCATATGTTAAATGTACAGAATTTAAGAAAACAGACCTTTTAAGGTATTGCAAAAACTATTTGTGCAATAATTTTAAAACAGGCAAGTCTTAAAAACTTAAATCTGCTAACCATATGGATCCATGCAGGATTATTTCTGCCTGAATTGCCAAATCTGACCAAGATTGATAAAATGTCAATTGGTCTGGTTCAACAAGAACTGTTAGTTCACCAGAACATTACCAAGCAAACATAGCCTATAAAAAATACCAATACAAAGGATATACAGGGTGATTGATATAAGTGTGCCAGCCGTCTTATTCGCAAACTATAAGAGATATCAAAAAAAGTTAAATGGTAAGTGCCTTGGATTTTTTATTTAAAAAATTGTAGTCAAGTCAAAAAAATTATTTTAGCCGCCATTTTTCCAATATGGCCGCCAACATTGATTTTTCTTATGGAACATCCTGTATTTTATGATGTATTCTGGTAGAAAATGTGATTTTAAGACGATTTTATTCTTGTGATTTTTTTCATAAACCTAACCGTTTCAAAGATAATAATGGTTAAAGCTTTGAAATTTTGCATGAGAAAGAGTTTCGATACAGGCCTAAGCAAGAATGCCAGCTGTTTTATTCGAAAACCATTCAAAATTTCACAACTTAAACCATAATTATCTTTGAAACGGTTAGGTTTATGAAAAAAATCACAAGAATAAAATCGTCTCAAAATTACATTTTCTACCAGAATACATCATAAATACAGGGTGTTCCATAAGAAAAATCAAAGTTGGCGGCCATATTGGAAAAATGGCGGCTAAAATAATTTTTTCGACTTTACTACAATTTTTTTAATAAAAAGGCCAAGGCACTTACCATTTAACTTTTTTTGATATCTCTTATGGTTTTCGAATAAAACGGCTGGCACACTTATATCAATCACCCTGTATGTAATGTCCACATCTTTAGGCCTACTTATGGAACTTGTTTTAGATGTTGATAGTTCTGAGACAAGCTGATAAGTTAAATTGATGAAATAGTTGTATTATATCTAAAACATTGTTTTAATTTATTGCTTTATTAAAAACCATGAAACGTGATCTCTCCGCTCAACTCGCTTTCACTGCTATGAGAGTAATTCTAGTTACAATTTTGATTTGTATTTTTCCAGGCATTAGCTAAACTAGGATGGCAGGACCCTACTCTCATTCAAGAAAGAGCAATTCCTTTCCTTTTGGATGGAAAAGATGTGTTAATCCGGGCTCGCACTGGTTCGGGTAAAACTGGGGCTTTTGCAATACCGGTTATTCAGCGAATCCTTTTAAGTAAACAAGTAAGTCTAACTCTGATAGGTTTTTGTACAGTTAGAAATCCGCATGCCTCAGGTACAGTTCGGCCAAAGTTTCTGTGTGCTCGACCAGAGTCTAAGCGAGGGGGACGGCGGGGGTACTTTTGCGAAAACATTTGTGTGTTGCTACTCACTCAACCCTACCTCAGCACTGCCAATAACTGGTACCCGTATGTTTTAGTTTGGCTAGTAGCGACCCGTCTGCGCGCACAGAAGTTTTGGCCGAACTGTAGGGGTCAGGGTCTGAACAGCTAAAAAGTTGGCTACTCAAAACAAAATAAAAAAGGTTAAGAAATGTTTTTAAAAAGTTTTAAAAAAATCCTCCACTAAATAATAAATATTTAGGGGAGGCCGGGGCACTATTGGACAAAGCCTATGCTGCTTATTGTTTTCTTGCTTTTTGTCAAGCTAAGCACATATTTGTCTATAGGGAATTAGAATTAGAGGGGTGGTGGAGGATGGAAATTCAGGAATCATCGCTCATTGGAGGTTTTGGTTCCAGTGCTTTAAATTGTAGAAACAAAACAGTATTGGTATTACCATTGACTATACACAGAATTGGTATTACCGTACAAATATTGTTGTTTAAACAAACTGTTAGTATTTAGTAAGCACTTTTAATAGATCATGCAGTTCTCCAATAGACTAATGCCAAGCAGCACTTTTTTGTATATTGGTTATATCGTTTTTTTTTAGGTTGCAAAGGAGCAAGCAGTTAGAGCGTTAATATTGGCACCAAGTAAGGAACTTTGTAGCCAGATTCATTCACATATCCTTGAACTAACACAGAAGTGCTCCAGGGAAGTGCGATGCGTTGACATTTCTCCTCAGGTAATGCAGTAGGGAAGTCTAGGTATAACTAAGTCTAGGTATAACTGTGCCCTACTTCACTGATGCCTGTTTTAAAGTTACTAGATTTACTGCATTTTCAAATAGTTGTTTAGCCTTCGGATTACTGTATCGTACTTAAAATGGTTTACAATACCTGCATATAGTAATCCTTTGGTGCTGTTTTGGCAACTAGCTTCGGTTCTTTTGAACCATTATAAGGCCTCAAGGTGTCTGGTAATCACTTCATTCAAAGGTCGTTAACAGAGTTTAATAAATAAAACATATTAGACACACGATAACATAGAACGGAGTTGTAAATGAATGTGCAAGCCAAGCAGCAAAAAATTCTAAAATACTTTGGTTGATAATGAAAATGTCAGTGTAGTAGGTCTCTAGACAATTGTCCAAGAAGCTGCAGGGTGTCAGTAGAAAATAAAACCGATTAATACCCTACCATAACTATCCCAGAAGGACTGTATGGTTCAGATACTTGGGCACTGACCAAAGAACCGAAAAAGCTTATTGCTGGGTTTGAGAATTGAGTGCAGAGAAAATATGCGGATCAGTTCAAAGTAACGGGAGGACAATAAGAGGTGGTAGGCCTATGTAGCTACTGTAGGCCTACTCCAATGAAATGCGTGTGAATCGACCGCCAATCTCACTTTAAAGCCTTTCAAATCAACGCAATTGCTATTTTATTGTAAAATTATTGGATTTAAAATTAATATTTTGTAGGCCTGTACTTGGCTGAAAGAAAAAGGTGGTCATGTGGCATTTGTTTACAGATGAACATGTTTCACTGTTGAAACTGCCAGAATTTGTCTTTATGTGTGTAAACTAGCTGTTCTGAATCATATTCAGTTTTAATTGAATACTCTACTCCCGAACATAGGACGGGCAAACAGCTCGTTTTGCAATTAAAGACTAAACTAGTTACCAAGTCCTCTGCTCAAGTATGGTCAGTGCTAATAATTTATTTGATTGGCTCCAATACTTAATACACTGTAAGTAAATTAAAGTAAATTATTTGAGCAGAGACACACCTATACATTTAGACTTGACTTTCTGGGATAATATAGTACGTATGGGTATGGTCTATATTAGTTCTACATACTATGCTACATAGTATACTGGTCTACATCAATTCAACTTGTATACTGGTATGGCCAGTTTTTTGAGAATGAGTAAGGTTGATCAGCCTCTGATTTACAGGTAGATCAGTAGCTCAGGATGCATTGCACGACGTCCAAGTGCCACGACGTCCAATAATATTTATTCAGTGCCACGACGTCCAAAACACAATTTTTGAGATGTTGCACGACGTCCAAGTGCCACGACGTCCAAAAGTACAGTCACTGCCAAAAATATAGTCTTTTTACAAGCTTTGGACGTCGTGGCACTTGGACGTCGTGAAACAGCGCACTATAGAATTGTAAAAAAGTAACATTTGCACGACATCCAAAGTCGCTGCCAGTTGCACGACGTCCAATAAATATTTGACTGTTGCACGACGTCCAATAAATATTTGACTGTTGCACGACGTCCAATATAGCTCAGCGCTGTTGCACGACGTCCAAGCTCCTTCATGATGACCGGCTACTTGCCAAACAGTGTTCTCTCGTGTAAAATGCTTATGGAACCTTTATTAGTTACTAGCTGTAACCCGCGGGATTTGCCCCGTTTAACTTCTTAATTTTCAAGATTATCTCGTTCGCATGGCTCAATCACGTCCTGGTTGAAGTTTGTTCGCTACGCTCACTCACCTTTAGGTTGGAGCTCATTCGCTGCGCTCACTTGCCTTCAGGTTAGCTCGTTCGCTACGCTCACTCGCCTCCAAGTTGAAGTTCGTTCGCTCACTCACCTTTTGGTTGCAAATTAGCTGTTGTCATAAATGTAAAAGAAATAATAGTGCTGCACCCTGTTGGTAATCCTTGTTACTTTAAAGCTATTGAACATCATAGAACAGAACCAACTTGTTTAATTGAAACAGCGGTTAAGATTCAATAATTCCATTTCTCATAAGGTTAACATGGGAAACTCCAGAGCCACTGGGACGGAGCCCGAAAGGATTTTTGAAATAAGAATATGCCTATATGTTAATCGGGAATGTGAGCTATCATCATGCCAAATTTCAGCCCAATCCGACCTGAATTTTTCGCGTTCACTTGTCACAAACATCCAAACTTTCTCATTTATAATATTAGTAGGATATATACATGGGTATGTTCTTGTTCAGAAATATATATACTATGAATATTTGAACCATTAATTGAAACATCATAAAGTAAAAAAAACATAAAAAAAAATAAATAAGGCAACAGTTGGAAAACTATAAGGTTTACATGATTTGAAAAATTATGACATTTTGTTAACAACCGATAAACTTCATTATGGTTGGAGTAAGCTTTTAAATACTTATTTTTTCAAGACTAGATGAATGTACATTGATCAACATGATCTTTGAAAACTATTTTTTATACCCTCATTTTAATTTTTACTAGTATAAAGAATAGAATGCCTTTTTCGAACTGTTTTTTTTTTTTTTGCTTCAATTAAATGTTCTTATGTCGCAAATATGTTTATTAATAGTATTCACTTAACATTGACTTAATTTTATTTCAATAAATTTTGTGTTTGTGTTTTGCTACACCACTTATTATTTTGCAACCAATGAGAATATCATATAAATAAGTTGTACACAGGGTTCTTTTGTTTCCCCAACTCTAAAATACAACGCACATGAATTGAAAATGTTATAGGCAGGGGTGCCCATCCCCCCCTAGACTCATGACGCACCCCCCCCCCCCATAAATGGTGTACACAACAAATGAGAAACATTATTCCCCCGCCCAGCACTATTTGTAAAACCATAAAAGAAGTTTTATATTTTTTTTAGATATTTAAAATTCAAACCCAGTTAATCTATATCAATAAAGTTATAGTTTAGTCTGTACATTGCTCAGAATTATACATATTTTGGGTTATTTATGTTTTATACATTGAAGAAGTTGAAACATGTCTTATCTCCATTTATGTCCGTCTGTCATGGCCCAGAAAGCATTTTATGCAACCTACTCATGGCCTACTCTAAAGAAAACTAGAGTACCGATTTTGATTCTAATGGTTTAATTGTATCCACAGGATTGGCGAGAGAGTCCTTATAGCCATTAAAATATGGCCTCACTATTTTGGAAATAAAATAACGGACAATCAAAAATACAATTTTGTTTGATTTTTCTAGTTTATTTTCTCCATGTTTACTACATACGTCATTAATTTATGAAATACTAATAATCTGTTGAGAGAACACATCATATATGAAATTGCGAACAGCTGTTTTGATAAAGATTCCTTTTCCTAGCTGTCACTGATATGTTTACATAAATGTTCTTTAAGAATACTGTGTAGGCCCTAACCATTTCCGATCACGTTTGTAAGCAAATCCAAAACCAAGTGAGATTAATAACCGTGTGGCTTTGGCTTACATAACGGGTTTGATTTATCACGAGTACTAATATGTAACTGTAAATTAAATTAAATAACTAGCCATCATCCAGGTCGGGAACCGGAGAATTTGTGTGTATCAAGTTGTCCTTGAATTTTGATTACAGGGAAAGACCGTGAATCAGTGTTGTACAGGACTGGAAAACTTATCTTTCTATATAAATAAAATTAGAGTTTTATAAGTCACCTCAATTTAAGGAATTTTTTATTTCCAGAATATCCATAACGAATTGTCAGCGTCTTTCTCGATATAACGATCCCCTCTCCCTCCCTTTAGAAACATCACAGCTTCTTTGATGAAAATGAAATGGAAACAACGCTTGCGCCAACAATCGTCTGCTCCGTTATACACTTCTGTCTGCTGTGCGCTATGTTACAACAGATTTCAGATACAACAGCTGGGGAATGATGACGATATAATGCTTGTACACTCTGATTGAGTGATAACCATGGTAACTTTAGTAAGGCTGTGGTTGGCCAATGAGTAGGCCTAAATATGGCGGCGACTTGTTGAATTTGTGTATGAATTGAAGAGAAACCTAATGAACAAAAGAACAAAGAAAGAGAATAACAAGATTGTTCTCGTTACATTCTTTTTTAAGAGTGTTTTAATTATCTCTAAATATAATTTTACACTTTTTTATTACTTATCTATCAATTCCTATGCTGTGATTCAGCACCTATCGGTAGCCTATCTGCCTATCATGAGCAGTACCTTATAACACTTTCTAAAGGTTCCTTTAATATTAACGTTATTTATAGCAATGTAATGTTTGGCTATTGATTAGTAGAGTTTGAGTTAGCTACAATTTTAAACGTTGCCGTTTGTACAACTGAACCAAGATAGATGATTTGAAATTTACAATAATAATGATAGTGCAATATTGAATTTCGTTTATAAAAATGTAAATCGTGACTTAATGGCTGTTTACAGCGTTTTAATGAGTTTGTCATCTGTTTTTATACTATATTGGATTAACCGTATTTTTCATTTCCCCGCACCCTCTCCCTATTAACTCAGGTAATCGAGTATACACAATAGTGTAAAGTATTGTAGCCTATGCTATTTGCTACTTGATAGTATTTTAACAAGCTTTATGTCAACAAAGAGTTCTGCTATGGTTAAGTCGCGGTGTAGCTGGACGTGTCTGTACCAGCACGCGTTATCTTTTATCTATCACAGCAGTTGTGCCATCCCAGCGCTCCCTCTCTTAGATCTCACGTCTTGCTAATCTTAAATAATAACTTTCTACACGAATCCTAAACTATCCTAAAATCCTATTTTAACTAATTTAATTCAATAATATAGCTATTGTAATTAATTATCTACTTTCTATCTGGCAATTTCGTAATGTATTTTGGATTGTCGTCACGTTGAACACTGTTGCAATTAACTTTAGCCCCCCCCCCATTTGATTTTTTTGAGCCCCCCCCAAGAATTTCAATGACGCAGTCTGCGTCACGGCCCCCCCTTGTGGGCACCCCTGTTATAGGTT